AACGAGAGCGTACAGGTCACAATGGTGGGTAGTATATGGGGCTTTGGTGACAAAACGGATGGCACTGTGATTGACTACATCCAATTTGCTGAGTAGAGTGTTGGAAGCTATTTTGTAAATGACATCGCCGAAGTCAAGGATCGGTAGGATAGTCCGTATTATGAGGGCATGTTTAGCAGCATGAGTGAAGGAGGCTTTGTTGCGAAATAGGAAGCCAATTCTAGATTTAACTTTGGATTGGAGATGCTTAATGTGAGTCTGGAAGGAGAGTTCACGGTCTAACCAGACACCTAGGTATTTGTAGTTGTCCACATATTCTAAGTCAGACCCGCCGAGAGTAGTGATTCTAGTCCGGCGGGCGGGTGCAAGCAGCGTTCGTTTGAAGAGCATACATTTAGTTTTACTAACGTTTAAGAGCAGTTGGAGGCCACGGAAGGAGTGTTGTATGGCATTGAAGCTTGTTTGGAGGTTTGTTAACATAGTGTATCATGAAGGGCCAGATGTATACAAAATGGTGTCGTCTGCGTAGAGGTGGATCTGAGAGTCACCAGCAGCAAGAGCGACATCATTGATATACACAGAGAATAGAGTCGGCCCGAGAATTGAACCCTGTGGCACCCCCATAGAGACTGCCAGAGGTCCAGACAACAGGCCCTCCAATTTGACACATTGAACTCTATCTGAGAAGTAGTTGGTGAACCAGGCGAGGCAGTCATTTGAGAAACCAAGGCTATTTAGTCTGCCAATAATAATGCGGTGATTGACAGAGTCAAAAGCCTTGGCCAGGTCGATGAAGACGGCTGCACAGTACTGTCTTTTATCGATCGCGGTTATTATATCGTTTTAGGACCTTGAGCGTGGCTGAGGTGCACCCATGACCAGCTCGGAAACCAGATTGCATAGCGGAGAAGGTACGGTGGGATTCGAAATGGTCGGTGATCTGTTTGTTAACTTGGCTTTCAAATACTTTCGAAGGACAGGATGGATATAGGTCTGTAACAGTTTGGATCTAGAGTGTCACCCCCTTTGAAGAGGGGGATGACCGCGCCAGCTTTCCAATCTCTGGGGATCTCAGACGATAAAAAAGAGAGGTTGAACAGGCTAGTAATAGGGGTTGCAACAATTTCGGCGGCTAATTTTAGAAAGAAAGGGTCCAGATTGTCTAGCACAGCTGATTTGCAGGGGTCCAGATTTTGCAGCTCTTTCAGGACATCAGCACTCTGAATTTGGGTGAAGGAGAAGCGGGGGGGGCATGGGCAGGTTGCAGTGGAGGGTGCATAGCTGGTGGCCGGGGTAGGGGTACCCAGGTGTAAAGCATGGCCAGCCGTAGCAAAATGCTTATTGAAATTCTCGATTATCGTAGATTTATCGGTGGTGACAGTGTTTCCTAGCCTCAGTGCAGTGGGTAGCTGGGAGAAGGTGCTCTTATTCTCCATGGACTTTACAGTGTCCCAAAACTTTTGGGAGTTAGTGCTACAGGATGCACATTTCTGATTGAAAAAGCTAGCCTTTGCTTTCCTAACTGATTGTGTAGAAAGCGAGGTCCATACAGAAAATGGTTTGTCAAGATCGGTGTGGAACAACTTGACTGGCCTGCACAGAGCCCTGACCTCAACCCCATCAAACACCTTTGGGAGCCAGGCCTAATCGCCCAACATAAGTGCCCGACCTCACTAATGCTCTTGTGGCTGAATGGAAGCAAGTCCCCGCAACAATATTCCAACATCACGTGGAAAGCCTTCCCAGAAGAGTGGAGGCTGTTAAAGCAAGGGGGGGACCAACTCTATATTAATGCCCACTTTTGTATATATAGTGTATGTATGTTCATATTGGTATACTTACCTCTTTTGACCTGTTGCCAAGGAGGCCCTCGACATAAGAAGACTGGAGGCCATTGTTGGTAAGATTAACACTGTTTATCAAAAGTTTTTCTGTGTTGTCTTATGTGAGCTCTGTTAGATTATTGATAATGGCTTATAATTGGTTCTCTTTTTTCTAAAATGTTACGTGGTGGAAAAATGTGGATGCAACAAAAAAGAGAATCTGAAGATAGTTACGTCAAAGCTGAATGATGACAAGTCACAAGGCCTCAAAAGTTATTAAAAAAGTTAATGTATTATTTTATTTTTTAATGCAATTACATGTATAAGCGTATTATTTGTTTGATAAAACTAGTTAAACACTTGAGGAAATGTACACTAGTCTAGTAGTTACACAGTAGTGAAACAAGATGTCAATGGTGATTTTGAATAGGCAAACAGTAAATGTGTCAGTTTTCAATAGTAATTCAAGGGTTTATGTTGGAAATGAAAATATATCAGGAGCAATTCAGTAGTGACAACACTACCCACACAAATGGCAGTAGAAATTCAATAGGGATTGAGTAGGCATACAGCAGTAAGGTGTAGGCATTATGTAGTAATTCAATAGTGAACATGTAGGAATTTTGTAGGTACACTACCAGTCAAAGGTTTGGACACACCTACTCATTCAAGGGTTTTTCTTTATTTTTGCTATTTTTTACATTGTAGAATTATAGTAAAGACATCAAAACTATGAAATAACACATATGGAATCATTCAGTAACCAAAAAAGTGTTAAACAAATCAAAATATGTTATATATTTGAGATTCTTCACATTGCCACCCTTTGCCTTGATGACAGCTTTGCACACTCTTGGCATTCTCTCAACCAGCTTCATGAGGTAGTCACCTGGAATGCATTTCAATTAACAGGTGCACGTTCTTAAAAGGTAATTTGTGGAATTTATTTCCTTCTTAATGCGTTTAAGCCAATCAGTTGTGTCGTGACAAGGTAGGGGGGGTATACAGAAGATATCACTATTTGGTAAAAGACCAATTCCATATTATGGCAAGAACAGCTCAAATAAGCAAAGAGAAACGACAGTCCATCATTACTTTAAGACATGAAGGTCAGTCAGTACGGAAAATTTCAAGAACTTTGAACGTTTCTTCAAGTGCAGTCACAAAAACCATCAAGCGCTATGATGAAACTGGCTCTCATGAGGACCGCCACAGGAATGGAAGACCCAGAGTTACCTCTGCTGCAGAGGATAAGTTCATTAGAGTTACCAGCCTCAGATATTGCAGCCCAAATAAATGCTTCATAGAGTTCAAGTCACAGACACATCTCAACATCAACTGTTAAGAGGGGACTGTGTGAATCAGGCCTTCATGGTCGAATTGCTGCAAAGAAACACTACTAAAGGACACCAATAAGACGAAATGTCCTGCTTGGGTCAAGAAACACAAGCAATGGACATTAGACCAGTGGAAATGTGTCCTTTGGTCTGGAGTCCAAATTTGAGATTTTTGGTTCCAACCGCCATGTCTTTGTGAGACGCGGTGTGGGTGAACGGATGATCTCCGCATATGTAGTTCCCACCGTAAAACATGGAGGAGGAGGTGTTATGGTGCTTTGCTGTTGACACTGTCTGTGATTTATTTAGAATTCAAGGCACACTTAACCAGCATGGCTACCACAGCATTCTGCAGCGATATGCCATCCCATCTGGTTTGGGCTTAATGGGACTATCATTTTTTTTTCAACAGGACAATGACCAAACACACCTCCAGGCTGTGTAAGGGCTATTTTACCAAGAAGGAGAGTGATTGTGTGCTGCATCAGATGACCTGGCCTCCACAATCCCCCGACCTCAACCCAATTGAGATGGTTTGGGATGAGTCGGACCGCAGAGTGAAGGAAAAGCAGTCAACAAGTGCTCAGCATATGTGGGAACTCCTTCAAGACTGTTGGAAAAGCATTCCAGGTGAAGCTGGTTGAGAGAATGCCAAGCGTGTGCAAAGCTGGCAAAGGGTGGCTATTTGAAGAATCTCAAATATAAAAATATATATCTTGGCATTCTACAATTTAGAAAATACTAAAAATAAATGACAATCCTTGAATGAGTAGGTGTGTCCAAACTTTTGACTGGCACTGTATGTATAGGTATTAAGTAGTAGACACCCAAATGCGATATTAAGGGAGAATTATGTAGTGATTTGAATAGGAAATAGGTAGTGTTCACCAGTAATGAAACGTCCCAATTTATCACTCATTACTCCTTAAATTACTACAGAAATCACTACTGCTTTACTACACCTCAACAGCAATCAAGTAGTAAAACCAGTGGGTTTTGTGTAGATCTTGTGTAGTAGTGATTCAGTAGTACTTTTTCATGAGGGCGGGCGTTAGGACTAAATAACATTTGTGGAGGAGCTAACGCCCTGGAACAGAGCACAGACACAGCTCTGCATGCTGCTCATCAATAGAAGTGACATATTATAATTTTAATATAATAATAATATTATAATCACATATTACGTCTTCCAGCATCAACACAGACAACGGCTCCTTGTCAAGAATGAGAAAATAACTGAAGTAGTCCAACAGAACTTATGTATGGCAAAATAACCTGCTACTGAATTATTTCCGATGAATGCAAGAATGTAGTCCTTTAAGCTACCAGTGTTTGTGCTACTGCTATCATCAGCTATCAACCATATCATTGCCCTCTTCCACTCTTATAATGAAAAAACAAAGCAGTCGCCATAAAATCATTACAAAAGCAGTTTTATTATTGGGTGTAAAAAAAGGAACATGAAATCAATTAGAATGTTGGTTGAACCATTATAAATGCCCACACAGCTTTTAGGCAAGTGTGAATGTATGTACAATAAGAACAAGAGGGAGAGATGCAATTTGTGCACCCATCCATTCCTCCCTCTTCTCTCTATCCACCATATTATCACATAATATCCCCCGTTTTCTGACAATTCCTTCGCTACTCCAGTAGGTAGTTTCCACCTCTCCACCAAAAGTCATCCAACCCCAGGCACCTAGTCTCTGTCCAATCAGAGAGGTAGAGGTCTCTGTCGTCACCATCAGCGGGCTGTCTCACCACACTCAGCCAATTACAAGCCAGTGTCTGTGCCAAACGGCACCTTATTCCTTATTTAGTGCACTACTTTTGACCAGAGCCCTATGGACCCTGGTCAAAAGTAGTGCACTATATAGGGAATAGGTTGCCATTTGGGACACAGCCAGAGTCTCAGTGCGGGGACTGTGTGCTGGCGCCGGGGGAGTCTGAACGTTCCATCTTCATCCCGGCTTCCAGCAAGATGGGGGAGGTGGAGGAGGAGGGAGGGAGCACGCCACTCTTACTTTCCAGAGAGGAGGAGGTGGACGTGGGGAGGGACACCACAATGTACTTCTGGAGGGGTCGCGACCCCCCCAGGCTGCCGGCCCCTCCGGACTCCAGCTTGACCAGAGGCTGCAGGGTGGAGGTAGCGCTGGCGACCGTGCTGGTCACTGAGGAGGCAGAGGAGGAACTCAGCGTGATCACCTGAAGTAAAGGAGAGGGGAATATTACATTACACATCACCACTACTAGGACATCTAGATAATGACTTTTATTAGAGACACTTAAATGTCTATTAAAAAGTGAATGTATAGGATATCAATAAATGTTTATTTACGACCACACCTTATATGTGAATCTAGGAGGACAGAGTGAATAGTATTCATGCTCTTAAATAAAATCGTCTTCGTTACCATTTCAAAGAAAACAAAAACAAACAAAACTGCAGTCCACAGTACCTGCTGGGTGGAAGATGCGCCTGAGCTGGTTGCCATGACGATGTACTTGGTTGCCGGGGGCGATGGCTGTGTTGGGGTGCCTGGTCGGGTGGACATGAGGGTGAGGGAGCTGGGTACCTTGATGATGCTGGGGGTACGGGACCCCCCTGACCCTCCTATCCCGCTCTGAGACACTGTTAGGGTGGGCCGAGGCTGCAATACAAACAAACAGATACAGTAGGACTTCAGATTGGGTTTTGTTATGTTACTTTACACTAACAGGATGAAGTTGCTGATATTGTCAGTTCATATCAGCGTTGAAGTCAATTCCAACTGTTTTCAATGAAGAGAATTGGAATTTAAGTTTACTTCCTGAACTGCCTGAATTTAAATGGAAATGACCCCAGTTCATGTACATATTTTTTACACCAACATTTAAATAACATGTAATGTTTACCTAAAACTAAGCCGGGTGACAAACCAGTTGTTTTGACGTCCAGTGCCTACCTGTGTGATTGGTGGAGTGTGGTTCTGTTGACCTGCTGGGCCTGTAGTGGCTGCCTGGGGCCCCTGGGCCTTGACCACATGAGAACACAGCATGGGCCCAAGATAACCATAGTCCACCCGGTACTGCTCCACGTTGTCAGGCAGGGGACCAGTTTTAGCGATGACGCTGGCACAGTGTTTCTGAGAGAGAAGAGGATATTAGTCAAGTATCTTTGTATCTCTCACAGGTGGGTATGTGACTTTAAAGGCCAGTTTCCCGGACACAGATTAAGCTGCATGTTCAGTGGAGCTTTTAAGTCCAGAATTTGGGAAACTGGCCCTAAAATGTATGTATGTAGAGGTGTCTATAATACTGTATGTTGTCTATGATCCTATTTGTTTTAACAAATCAGGTACATGAGAATAAAACAGAAACATGTTCTATCATAAAGAGGCATCAAATGGAATGAACATAAATGAGTATGACAATTTGAGTTAACAATAGAACAACAATAGTTTGTGTTTGGTTCATCACCAGTAAAAGGCTTTGGACGTGGTCTGCTCCTATCTTATCGATGTTAGAGACAACGGGTCCATCAGACACTGATTTGATACGAGCTCCTTCTACAGTGAGCCTGGGAAGGATCAAAGTCTTGATCACCTGGAGAGGGAGAGAAGAGGGAGGGAGAGAGAGGAACATAAAATTCGACATACCATTTTGTGAATTTTTGATTGGTGAGCGGATCCCAGACCTCACAACCATAAAGGGCAATGGGTTCCTAAACTTGGCAAAAAAAGAAACGTCCCTTTTTCAGGACCCTGTCTTTCAAAGATAATTAGTAAAAATCCAAATAACTTCACAGATCTTCATTGTGAAGGGTTTAACACTCTTTCCCATGCATGTTCAATGAACCATAAACAATTAATGAACATGCACCTGTGGAACGGTCGTTAAATTAATTAATTAAGACACAAACAGCTTACAGACGGTAGGCAATTAGGTTCAGAGTTATGAAAACCTTAGGACACTAAAGGGGCCTTTCTACTGACTCTGAAAAACACCAAAAGAAATATGCCCAGGGTCCCTGCTCATCTCCGTGAATGTGCCTTAGGCATGCTGCAAGGAGGCATGAGGACTGCAGATGTGGCCAGGGCAATAAATTGCAATGTCAGTACTGTGAGACGCCTAAGACAGCGCTACAGGGAGACAGGACAGACAGCTGATCGTCCTCGCAGTGGCAGACCACGTGTAACAACACCTGCACTGGATCGGTACATCCGAACATCACACCTGCGGGACAGGTACAGGATGGCAACAACAACTGCCCGAGTTACACCAGGAACGCACAATCCCTCCATCAGTGCTCAAACTGTCTGCAATAGGCTGAGAGAGGCTGGACTGAGGGATTGTAGCCTGTTGTAAGGCAGGTCCTCACCAGACATCACCGGCAACAACGTCGCCTATGGGCACAAACACACCGTCGGTGGACCAGACAGGACTGGCAAAAAGTGCTCTTCACCGACGAGTCGCGGTTTTGTCTCATCAGGGGTGATGGTCGGATTCGCGTTTATCGTTGAAGGAATGAGCGTTACTCTGAGGCCTGTACTCTGGAGCGGGATCGATTTGGAGGTGGAGGGTCCGTCATGGTCTGGAGCTGTGTCACAGCATCATCGGACTGAGCGTTACAGGGAAGACATCCTCCTCCCTCATGTGGTACCCTTCCTGCAGGCTCATCCTGACATGACCTTCCAGCATGACAATGCCACCAGCCATAATGCTCGTTCTGTGCGTGATTCCCTGCAAGACAGGAACGTCAGTGTTCTGCCATGGCCAGCGAAGAGCCCGGATCCCAGATGTGCCGAGGACCTTGAGCACGTCTGGGACCTGTTGGATCGGAGGGTGAGGGCTAAGGCCATTCCCCCCAGAAATGTCCGGGAACTTGCAGGTGCCTTGGTGGAAGAGTGGGGTAACATCTCACAGCAAGAACTGGCAGATCTGGTGCAGTCTATGAGTAGGAGATGCACTGCAGTACTTAATGCAGCTGGTGGCCACACCAGATACTGACTGTTACTTTTGATTTTGACCCCCCACCCTTTGTTCAGGGACACATTATTCAATTTCTGTTAGTCACATGTCTGTGGAACTTGTTCAGTTTATGTCTCAGTTGTTGAATCTTATGTTCATACAAATATTTACACATGTTAAGTTTGCTGAAAATAAACACAGTTGTCAGTGAGAAGACATTTCTTTTTTTGCCGAGTTTATAACTGATTCAAGTATTTTTAGATCCTAATAATAATTTATTATTTTTACTTGAATCAGTTATAGAATCCCATTGCCCTTTATGGTTGAGAGGTCTGGGATCCGCTCACCAACCAAGAATTCACAAAAGGGACAAACACCAAATTGAGACTTTGCATGCAGAATTTACTAAAAAAACGGAGCAAACTGGAATGCTATTTGGCTCTAAACAGAGAGTACACAGTGGCAGAATACCTGACCACTGACTGACCCAAAATTAAGGAAAGCTTTGACTATGTACAGACTCAGGGAGCATAGCCTTGATACAAATACAACCCATATTTATGTTTATTTATTTTCCCATTTGTACAACTTGCACATCGTTACAACACTGCACACTACCTGTCAAAAGTTTAGACACCTACTCATTCAAGGGTTTTCTTTATTTTGACTATTTTCTACATTGTAGAATAATAGTGAAGACATCAAAACTATGAAATAAAACATATGGAATCATGTAGTAACCAAAAAAGTGTTAAACAAATCAAAATATATTTTATATTTGAGATTCTTCAAATAGCCACCCTTTGCCTTTATTTTAAGAATCTCAAATATAAAATATATTTTGATTTGTTTAACACTTTTTTGGTTACTACATGATTCCATGTGTTATTTCATAGTTTTGATGTCTTCACTATTATTCTACAATGTAAAAAATAGTAAAAATAAAGAAAAACCCTTGAATGAGTAGGTGTGACTGGTAGTGTATATAGCCATAATACGACATTTGTAATGTTTACTGTCCAATGGCGGCGAACTTTACACCACTCCAGCCGACGCTTGGCATTGCGCATGATGATCTTAGGTTTGTGTGCAGGTGCTCGGCCATGGAAACCCATTTCATGAAGCTCCCGACGAAACAGTTCTTGTGCTGACGTTGCTTCCAGAGGCAGTTTGGAACTCGGTAGTGAGTGTTGCAACCGAGGACAGACGCTTTTTACGCGCTATGCGCTTCAGCACTTGGCGGTCCCGTTTTGTGAGCTTGTGTGGCCTACCACTTCGCGACTGAGCCATTGTTTATCCTAGACGTTTCCACTTCACAATAACAACACTTACAGTTGACCGGGGCAGCTCTAGCAGGACAGACATTTTACCAACTGACTTGTTGGAAAGGTGGCATCCTATGACAGTGCCACGTTGAAAGTCACTGAGCTCTTCAGTAAGTCTACTGCCAATGTTTGTCTATGGAGATCGCATGGCTGTGTGCTCAATTTTATACACCCGTCAGCAACGGGTGTGGCTGAAATAGCCGAATCCACTAATTTGAAAGGGTGTCCACATACTTTTGTATGTTTCCCATGCCAATAAAGCCCTTTGAATTGAAGAGAGAGAAAGAGAGAAAACATTATGGGGTGAGAACATTTCTTCAAGTGTGCAAGAGACAGAAAGGCACAACTCACGTCAGGTCCTAGTTCAGACAGTCCAGCGATGCAGCCGTAGCGTGTTGTCCACTGAGTCTTGTCATCCATCCAGCTCTGAGGAGATGGAAGGTGATGTTCATGGCTAGTAATAATAACACCGCTTATTGTCTATTGTCTCAATCCCAGTATTATATGTTTAACTAAATGTTTTAATTTTTTACAAAAGACACACACATCCTTATTAGTAAAAGTTGATCAATCGGATGCATCTCCACATACCTTGGTGAAGGTCTTGGTGATGCGTGACTGGATGTTGTTGGTGGTAGTGCTGAAGGTCTTACAGCTCTGGGCCATGAGACGGGCAGCGAAGTCCCTCAGAGCCCAGTGGTTGTCCACGTCAGGCCGCAAGCACAGCTGCTTACTCACTATACACGTCACCACCGCTGGGATCAACTCATGCAGCTAGACCACGACCCAGGGAACCAGGGTGAGGCGCAAGAGAGGGACACACAAAAGGGGTTTTATGATCAGCACTGAGTTGAGGTCCGTCTGTATTGAAATACTCTATAAATCAAGTTGATTTTATTCTGATTTGGTTTTCAGTTTACTGTGTGTAATATTGATCTGCGTCATAGTTCGGTTTCAATGCGTTTTGATTTTGTTTTCAGTTGACTTTTTACGGTATTTGGCTTTGTTCGAATTTGACAGAGGCAGGTTCTGTGTCATGGCTGTGCTTACATATTTCTCCAGGTAGAGTGTGGGGTTGTCCATGAGGGCCTTGACCATCCTCATCAGGTAGATGAGCAGGGCCAGGTTGTTCTGCACCACGTTCACACGGACCTACAGGAGAAGAGAAAGACGTAAGAGAAAAACAAGCTAAAGGTAACGGGGTCATGATCCCTACTGCACTGAGACACCTCAGCATCATATTCATTAGGTACCAAGCAGATGAAAGATGTATTGAAACAGGGAGGCACTACCAGGTAACAATATTTTCGTTGAAAATATGTTTTGAAAAGTTTTCTATTGTGTGCCCTAATGAACACAACCCAGCAAAACAGCATCTAGGAGGGTAGATGGCAGGTGAGAGCAGGGCTCTCACTGATAACTTAAAGTTAGGTGTACCACATTACATTTAGGAGCACCAGAAAAAAAAAAAAAAAAAAAAAAAAAAAAAAAAAAAAAAAAAAAAAAAAAAAAAATTAATTGAATGAAATAAGGCATATATATGAATTCTAGCTACTTTTGAAGCACATGTTGTGCCCTAGAAACTAATATGTAACACTGTAAAGACATACGTTTACTATAAAAGCTAAGATGTTGATACAGATATCTGTCATTGAAATAAAGTCATTTGTGGAATATTAGGTTTCTACATTGTGTAAAAGCACTTTGTCTATTGAGATGCATTACATTGAAAAATTGTACACTGTCTCTTTAAAAATGTCAGGTTTGTGAGGATGACATGCAAGAGAAGATATGTCATTCATTCATTCATTGCTATGATCATTATTGATGCAATCTCCTCTGGACTTATTGTACTTTTTAAGGATGTGGCCAAATCTATGCCCTCTTCTTTACCACATCTTGATCCAGCTGACTCACCAGTGGGCAAGATATGTTTCTCTCCTACTGTTTTTAACAACAATGGGAAAGGGCGTGCCTTATTTCTATATGACGTTTCAGTCCCATATGTCATACAGTATCTTTCTGGAATGGCCTTTTAAGAAATATTCATTTCTCAGAAGTTTAAGAACTAATACGATTAAATAAGTTTTATATTAATTAATCCACAAGTGCTAACCTACTAAACATTCTCTTAAAACGTTTTTAAAAGACTGATGCTTCTTTTACCTTCTGTAATGAACAACCAGAGACGGTTTTACATATACTTTGGTATTGCCTTTTACCCGGAAGTTGTGGCAAGATATCTGTGGATATGTTTTAGATCATATACAGTGAGATCTAAAAGGATTGGGTCAGTGATACATTTCTTGTTGTTTTGGCTTTGTTCTCCAGCACTTTGGATTTGAAATTATACAATGACTATGAGGTTAAAGTACAGATTGTCAGCTTTAATATACGGCTATTTTCATCCATACCGGGTGAACCGTTTAGAAATTACAGCACTTTTTGAACATAGTACCCCAATTTTAGGGGACCAAAAGTAATGGGACAAATTCACTTATATGTGTATTCATGTAATGAAAAGTTTAGTATTTGGTCCCATATTCCTAGCACGCAATGATTACATCAAGCTTGTGACTCTACAAACTTGTTGGATGCATTTGCTGTTTGTTTTGGTTGCGTTTCAGATTACTTTGGTAAATGGTAAATAATGTAGTGTCATTTTGGAGTAAATAAGAATATAATATGTTTCTAAACATTTCTACATTAATGTGGACGCTACCATGATTATGGATAGTCCTGAATGAATCGTGAATAATGAGTGAGAAAGTTTGACGCACAAATATCGTACCCCCAAGACAGGGCTAACCTCTCACCATTACAATAACAGGGGAGGTGAGCATTATGATCAGGGTTAGCACGCATCACCTGCATGTGTGTGAGACCAGTCGGCCGTTGCTCAAGGAGAGAGAAAGACAGTCGGACATTGCAGCAGCAGGTAGGGCTAGCCTATAAAATATGATAGAGAACAGACTAACTAGGTAGCCAATTCAAAACATATCTTGTACCCTCTAGTTAACTGTTTAGCTATTATTAGCATGTAGGCTATTAATGTTTGTCATCTCATGTCCTAAAAAAACGTATCGCCGACACTCGCGAATAAGGCCATACAAAGTTGATTTACTTTTTTTAATGATTCATATAATTCAATTAAACTATTATTTTCAACGAAACAAACGATTTACTTCGCCAAAATATTAGTTGGTATTCGGTTCAATTGTGAATCGTGAACATTAATTTTAGGAAAAAATATTAGAGATAGCCTTTCTTTTGGATTATGTGGCTTCAAAACTTGTTTTGTAGATACTTCCAGTTGATTTGGGCATTCAATGTATGGGACATTGCAACTCAATAGATTCTAGTCAGCCTGCAAAGTAAACACATGTAAGGTAGCTAAGATAAATAACTAAACTAGAAAAGGTACATTTTCATGAAGAACATTTGTGGGCTTTCTTCAACTGAATAAAATGATTTGTGGCCTACCATAGCCATTTGATATATTGAATGAGCTAATTATTTCAAAAGGCATGAAACATATTTGCTTGTAATGTTGCAGTGTTTTACATCAAGGGTGGTCAACCATCCTCCAGGAGAGCTAATGGGTGTACAGGCTTCTATTTCTGTCACCCTCTAACAAACCACATTTTAGAATTGAGCTGCTCAAACGGACCGCTCAAACTGGCTCTGATGTGTATGAGCAGGGCTTGATCACACCCAGTAGCTCTCCAGACTGAGGGCTGACCACATGTTTCATACAGTTGCCTAAGAGGTATTCTACTTTGTGGGGGGGTTAAGTGCCTTGTTCAATGACAAGAGACGATACATGGGATCCGAGCGCAGCCTCCCAGTGTCGATATTACGCTTACTTTTATATACAGTGGGGGAAAAAGTATTTAGTCAGCCACCATTTGTGCAAGTTCTCCCACTTAAAAATATGAGAGAGGCCTGTAATTTTCATCATAGGTACACGTCAACTATGACAGACAAATTGAGAAAGAAAAATCCAGAAAATCACATTGTAGGATTTTTAATGAATTTATTTGCAAATTATGGTGGAAAATAAGTATTTGGTCACCTACAAACAAGCAAGATTTATGGCTCTCACAGACCTGTAACTTCTTTAAGAGGCTCCTCTGTCCTCCACTCGTTACCTGTATTAATGGCACCTGTTTGAACTTGTTATCAGTATAAAAGACACCTGTCCACAACCTCAAACAGTCACACTCCAAATTCCACTATGGCCAAGACCAAAGAGCTGTCAAAGGACACCAGAAACAAAATTGTAGACCTGCACCAGGCTGGGAAGACTGAATCTGCAATAGGTAAGCAGCTTGGTTTGAAGAAATCAACTGTGGGAGCAATTATTAGGAAATGGAAGACATACAAGACCACTGATAATCTCCCTCGATCTGGGGCTCCACGCAAGATCGCACCCCGTGGGGTCAAAATGATCACAAGAACGGTGAGCAAAAATCCCAGAACCACACGGGGGGACCTAGTGAATGACCTGCAGAGAGCTGGGACCAAAGTAACAAAGCCTACCATCAGTAACACACTACGCCGCCAGGGACTCAAATCCTGCAGTGCCAGACGTGTCCCCCTGCTTAAGCCAGTACTTGTCCAGGCCCGTCTGAAGTTTGCTAGAGTGCATTTGGATGATCCAGAAGAGGATTGGGAGAATGTCATATGGTCAGATGAAACCAAAATAGAACTTTTTGGTAAAAACTCAACTCGTCGTGTTTGGAGGACAAAGAATGCTGAGTTGCATCCAAAGAACACCATACCTACTGTGAAGCATGGGGGTGGAAACATCATGCTTTGGGGCTGTTTTTCTGCAAAGGGACCAGGACGACTGATCCGTGTAAAGGAAAGAATGAATGGGGCCATGTATCGTGAGATTTTGAGTGAAAACCTCCTTCCATCAGCAAGGGCATTGAAGATGAAACGTAGCTGGGCCTTTCAGCATGACAATGATCCCAAACACAGCGCCCGGGCAACGAAGGAGTGGCTTCGTAAGAAGCATTTCAAGGTCCTGGAGTGGCCTAGCCAGTCTCCAGATCTCAACCCCATAGAAAATCTTTGGAGGGAGTTGAAAGTCCGTGTTGCCCAGCGACAGCCCCAAAACATCACTGCTCTAGAGGAGATCTGCATGGAGGAATGGGCCAAAATACCAGCAACAGTGTGTGAAAACCTTGTGAAGACTTACAGAAAACATTTGACCTGTGTCATTGCCAACAAAGGGTATATAACAAAGTATTGAGAAACTTTTGTTATTGACCAAATACTTATTTTCCACCATAATTTGCAAATAAATTCATAAAAAATCCTACAATGTGATTTTCTGGAGAAAAAAAATCTCATTTTGTCTGTCATAGTTGACGTGTACCTATGATGAAAATGACAGGCCTCTCATCTTTTTAAGTGGGAGAACTTGCACAATTGGTGGCTGACTAAATACTTTTTTCCCCCACTGTACGTACATAGAGACGCCGCCAATTGTTGGTCATGGAAATTTGGTCAAAAGTAATGAAGAACTCATGGAAAAGTCATTAAATTCCATCTGTCAAAATGTGTATGAACCCTGCATGATATTTGTGCGTCTTTCATTTTCTCACTCATCATTATTCACAATTCATTCAGGACTATCCCTAATCATGCTAGCATCCACATTAATGTAGAGGTGTTTAGAAACATTCTATTCTCATTTACAATAAAAGTGACAATACATTATGTACCATTAATTTCTATTGGGCACAAAATAATCTGAATAAAAAAAGAAAAAAACAGAAAATGCATCCAACAAGTTTGTAGAGTCACAAGCTTGATGTAATCATTGCGTGCTTGGAATATGGGACCAAAAACGAAACTTCTGACTACTTTAATACACATAAGTGAATTTGTCCCAATACTTTTGGAAATATCCTCAAATTAAAGCTGACAGTCTGCACTTTAAGCTCATAGTCATTGTATAATTTCAAAGAGCTGGAGTACAAAGCCAAAACAAACACAAAATGTGTCACAGTCCCAATATTTTTGGAGCTCGCTGTACATCCACATTTTGCCCTTTTACTTAAATGTAATATTTGTTTTTAAAAGGTATAGCAAAGACTATGCGAAGCCTTTCTTCTTAATCAACCTCATTGATATTTTAGCTAAATTCCATATTCGAAAACCTCCTTTTTAGAATTAAATTAAACAATATATGAAAAATATTTCCTTCTTCTCATAACAAAAAAGCTATCAAAACGTAATGTTTGTACTTTTTACAAGGTCTTTACATAATGTATTGTCTGTATTCCCGACTGTTGTTTGTAATGTTTGTATACTCTGTTTTTTATGTAATTGCATATTTTGAATTGCTTTACAAAAGAATAAAAATGTCTATGATCATTGAGCTCCCGAAGAAGCTAGCCCTTTTCCTTTCTTTCTGTGCCCCAAAATGTTTGGCTATACCGGTAAAGTTACCAGGATGTTAGCTAGCTAGCCAATGAGGTAACATGACTATAAAGCGTAAACAAATAGTTAACGACACGGGAGTAGTTTTAGAACAGCCCATGACAAATGTAAAATGCGGTCGTATCATATACCGGTGATCCGCTATAGGAAGTAAAAAATGTTGCGCTGGTAATATGGGTCAGATCTTTTGACCTGGTTGGACTACAAAGCAAGAAGTTTTCGTAGTAGTGATGGTGTGACCATGACGCTATCGAATCTGCATTCGCTTATTTCTCTAGGGCACTCGGAAACAACGGTACAGCGTAGCCTTCGCATTAAACATTTTTTTATCTAGGAGATTTCTTTCCTAGTCACACAGTGCTCCCAAAATAAAACTCCTGGTCGCACAGCTAAATACTTTGTTGCATATGCGCCCAAATTGGTCGCACTTTAGAGCCCTAGGTGAGAGTAATTGACAGAAAAAACAGCTCACCCCTTCAGAAATAAAAGTGCTGAATCTGGGGAGCATCTGGTAGAGCCCAGGGTCTGTGGCGATACTCTGTAGAGCCTCCTGAAGGAGACAAGAGAGACATGGGTCAGAGGGATGACATGATGCAACAATAAGAAAACCACACACAGATAGGTAACTGCCCAAATAAAGGAAACTCTTGAGTAACTGAGGGATACAAAGTACACAGAGTACAAAACATTAGGAACACCTTCCTAATACTGAGTTACACCCCCTTTTGCCCTCAGAACAGCCTCAATTCGTCGGGGCATGGACTACAAGGTGTTGAAAGCATTCCACAGGGATGCTGGCTCATGTTGACTCCAATTTACCATTCTTAATAATCACGGGAAACGGTTGAGTGTAAAATAACCAGCAGCGTTGCAGTTCTTGACACACTCAAACCGGTGTGACTGGCACCTATTACCATACCCCGTTCAAAGGCACTTAAATATTTTGTCTTGGCCATTCACCCTTTGAATGGCACACATACACAATCCATGTCTCAAGGCTTAAAAATCCTTCTTTAACCTGTCTCCTCCCCTTCATCTACACTGATTGAAGTGGATTTAACAGGTGACATCAATAACGTATCATAGCATTCACCTGGTCAGTCAATGTCATGGAAAGAGCATGTTCCTAATGTTTTGTACACTCAGAGTATATTAAAAGCAGGTGCTTCCACACAGGTGTGGTTAAGCAATTAACATCATGCTTAGGGTAATGTATAGAAATGCCCAGTTTACCATTATTTTGTCTACCATGGCTAGAAGAAGAGACTCAGTGACTTTCAAAGAGTGCTCTCATTGGAGCATAAAGGGTGTGTGTGTGCGTATCTCCCGAGTGGCGCAGTGGTCTAAGGCACTGCATCACAGTGCTAGCTGTGCCACTAGAGATCCTGGTTCGAATCCAGGCTCTGTCGTAGCCGGCCGTAACACCCATGGGGCGGCGCACAATTGGCCAAGCGTCGTCCAGGGTAGGGGAGGGAATGGCCGGCAGGGATGTAGCTCAGTTGGTAGAGCATGGCGTTTGCATCGCCAGGGTTGTGGGTTCGATTCCCACGGGGGGCCAGTATAAAAAATTATGTATGCACTCACTAACTGTAAGTCGCTCTGGATAAGAGCGTCTGCTAAATGACTAAAATGTAAATGTAAAATGTGTCTCAGTCACCAGATCTCAACCCAATTGAACACTTATGGGAGATTCAGGAGCGACGCCTGAGGCAGTGTTCTCCACCAACATCAACAAAACACCAAATGATGGAATTTCTCATGGAGGAATGTTGTCACATCCCTCCAATAGAGTTCCAGACACTTGTAAAATCTATGCCAAAGCACATTGAAGCTGTTCTGGCTCGTGATGGCCCAACGCCCTATTAAGACACGTTGGTGTTTCCTTTATTTTGGCAGTTACCTGTATATACAAATATACACACATACAGTTGAAGTCGGAAGTTTACATAAACTTAGGTTGGAGTCATTAAAACTTCAAAAAGCACAGAATCATCTAGAATGTCATTGTATGCTGTAGCGTTAAGATTTCCCTTTACAGGAACTAAGGGGCCTAGACCGAACCATGAAAAACTGCCCCAGACCATTATTCCTCCTCCACCAAACATTACAGTTGGCAATATGCATTCGGGCAGGTAGCATTCTCCTGGCATCCGCCAAACCCAGATTCGTCCATCGGACTGCCAGATGGTGAAGCGTGATTCATCACTCCAGAGTCCAATGGCGTCGAGCTTTACACCACTCCAGCCGACGCTTGGCATTGTGATCTTAGGCTTGTGTGCGGCTGCTCGGCCATGGAAACCCATTTCATGAAGCTCCCGACGAACAGTTATTGTGCTGACGTTGCTTGCAGAGGCAGTTTGGAACTAAGTAGTGAGTGTTACAACAGAGGACAGACGATTTTTACGCGCTACAGCACTCGGCGGTCCAGTTCTGTGAGCTTGTGTGGCCTACCACTTCGCGGCTGAGCCGTTGTTGCTCCTAGACGTTTCCACTTCACAATAACAGCTCTAGCAGGGCAGAAATTTGACGAACTGACTTGTTGGAAAGGTGGCGTCCTATGACGGTGCCACGTTGAAAGTCACTGAGCTCTTCAGTAAGGCCATTCCAATGTTTGTCTATGGAGAATGCATGGCTGCGTGCTCGATTTGATACACCTGTCAGCAACGGGTATGGCTGAAATAGCCGAATCCACTAACTTGAAGGGGTGTCCACAAACCTTTTGCCATGTAGTGTAGCTCAGCATTTGTATTGTTTATTTTACAGTATTTTGCTCATCTTCATCAAGTGTGCCAATCATTTTGGAGGAGACACACACACACAACTCTCTCTCACATGCACACACAGTTGACTCACTGCTCTCTTGGCCTCACAGGATCCGACGCAGGCCTCCGTGATCTCCTTGTAGTAAAGCTGCTGCTCCACTGAGAGCTCGTGAGTACTGCGGGGCTTCATCCTCATCAGACCCTCCTTCTTACCTGGGAATCGGGAGGTAGAAAAACACACAGGGAAAGAGAGCCATGCAATCAAATGTTTATTAAATAGGAATTGCTTTTCCTTAAAAGGGGCCATCTGCAGATCTACATCCATTTTTTGACTTAATTATATGTACCCATTGATTCTTGAAGAATATAACTTCTAAATGCCTCATGGGCTTAGTTCAATTGTTGTACCCCATCAGAACCCTGTTACGTTCCCCAGCAAGAAAACTAAAAATGTCGCTCGAACAGAAGGGGGAACTAACAAAGTGTCACTGACCAACAACCAAAACGAAACAGGTGGGGTTTTAGGAGGGGTTCTGAAAGACACTCCATTGAAAGTTGACTAGCAACAACAACTGGAACCTGAAACACACCCACCATGAGCACCCACTAAATTTGACCAAGAGGCAAACAAAAGAAAAACCACACCAAACTTAAAAGACAGGAAGCAAACCAAAAAGTGGAGCAAAATAAAATCAGATAAAGGATTGTTTGTCTAGAAACCAAATAGGGAGAGCCAACTAAAGGTGTTAACCCTCCGCATCTTTCAAGACAACTGGAGCACTGGGCCAGCACAGGTGAAACACCTTCCCACTAACGAGATGGCAACCAGCACAGGCGTAACACATACTGACTATCGGTGCGCCCTCCGTGCTAACAAGCTATACGTGCTGAATCTCAAAACATAAATGGAAAAACCAAAGCCTGTAACAACCCGACATATAAGCTTGTTTTACTCCAATGTTTGTACACAAAGTAAATGTCAAAAATAAAACACTGTATAGCCTCAAAACATGGTTAAAACGTTGATATCCTGGATGGTCATGCATCCATATAGCTCCGTCTATGAATGTGAGAATGGTTACATTTTCCGGCCCCATCCCAAACAGTGGTGGGTGGGGTAGGGTTGGGCGATATTACCATAGTATCATCTATCGACGATGATTGACAGCCATCGTCGATGGTGACGACATCGTGTGACAGACGATGGTTTAGCCTATTTGAACTGGCGCTGTGCAGTAAACGGAGTCGGGCAGCACACGGCAGGGCAGCACAAAAGTGACATTCCCAGTAAATAACCTAGATTAAACAGGCATACAGAACGCAAGAGAGGAATGTGGGCTAGACAGAGTGGAGAATTCCACCAAAGCGGCGCAAATTGTCCAGTCAGTAAATATTCTTTCTCTCTTTTGCTATGTCGGATGCATGGGCCTTATAGCCTAAACATATAAAAAAAAATATAACGGACACTTAACTATGTTGTGTATAGCGGTTTTTAAAAAAACGTAGGCTATATTCCCTTGTCTCTCCATTCAATATGACTTTGGGCTAGGCTACGCTTTCATCGTTTTATGCATGCATGCTTTCTCTCCTGATCAAACAATGAATTCACCTAACAAAGTTCCACCATCTCGCAAGACACACACACACACACACAACATGTTCCATAACGAAGCTCCACCAGAAAGGAATATTAGAAAATATTTGCCTGTACTTAGCCTTTCAACAACATTATCTTTCATCATGATTCGTCCTGTTGTAGCATATGATTTCACACTATAGCCTAACGGTGGTTTCAGCCCAACTGTGTTTCTTTGCAACGCCAGGGTTGTGGGTTTGATTCCCACGGGGGTATGAAAAAAATAATGACTGTAAGTCGCTCTGGATAAGAGCGTCTGCTAAATGACTAAAATGTAAATATATCCCAATGTTTTATGAGTACATAATCATGATAGGACAAAGGTTGACATCACCCAACCAAAGCGGAGAGAACGCTTTGATATTGTTTAAACTGCTGATTGCCCCTTTAAGAATGTGTTTAATACTGAAGAATATCTTGAATGTCATGGATGTGGTTTGTTTTGTCCCACACATACAATTAAATAAATCTCAATGTAATATTTAAAAAATACATAATCCAACTCTACTTGTGCATGTACAATTTTAAGATGGCATACAGTACAGACACACAGACAGTACAGACAGACGGATGGAGAGACAGTAGACATTACAAACAGAGAATACACTGACCTTTAGCCTCTGCAGATGTAGCACCCTGGCCCTTCTGGATGGAGCCCCCCTCCTCCTCCTGACCAGGCTTGACCGCTTTGAGGGGCTCTGTAGATTCAGCCTTCTGCTGCTCTTTGGGGGCTGAGGGAAAGAGAATGGGACAGAAGGGAGATGGTATATCCACATATTGCAAATGTGGTTGTTTCAAGAAGAATGCATAGACAAACACAGACGGACGGACGGACGGACGGACGTCTCACCTGGGGGTGGGTTCTCTGGTATAGCAGGCTGGACACCTTCAATACTTAACCAGTGAGCTGAGGAAATCAAGAGAGGAGCAACAAGAGCTTGTATAATCAACAAACTCAAACACTGTTGTTCACAACAATTCTGTCAAGGAGTTTGAAATTACTTTTGAAAAATGATTAAATAATTTTTATGAATTAAATCTACATCAACAAAGGTATACCTTTACCTTTGAAATAGTTTAAGATATATATAGTTGCGTTTTTGTAAAATCCCCCCCCCCAAAAAAAAATATATAAACAAATTGAAGAATACCTTTCAGCGAAACGTCAAGTGGGACTCTAGGGAGGGGTGTGTTGATGATGTCACTGAGGTCCACCTCCTTTTCCTCGTAGAAGTGAAGCTCCCGCCCTCCTCCGCTGGCGAAGCGGAACGGGATGAACTCCTGCGACTGGAAGCCATACAGAGGCTGTGGAGGAGAGAGGAGAGAGAGGAGGCCGCTATGAAACCAAGTAGGATGACTGTGATGGTTGTATAGATACAGACAAACTGAAATGGTGCATGTACCAGTGCAGTGACTTCCATCAATAACTACAGTGCCTTCGGAAAGTATTCAGACTCCTTGAACTTTTCCACATTTTGTGAAGTTTCAGCCTTATTCTAAAATTGATTAAATCGTTTTTTCCCCTCATCAATCTACACACAATACCCCATAATGACAAAGCAAAAACAGGTTCAGAAATGTAAGCAAATTTATAAAAAATAAAAAACGGAAATATAATATTTACATAAGTATTCAGACCCTTTACTCAGTACTTTCCTTCAAGCACCTTCGCAACGATTACAGCCTTGAGTCTTCTTGGGTATGACGCTACAAGCTTAGCACACCTGTATTTGGGGAGTTTCTCCCATTCTTCTCTGCAGATCCTCTCAAGCTCTGTTGAGTTGGATGGGGAGCGTCGCTGCACAGCTATTTTCTGGTCTCTCCAGAGATGTTCGATGGGGTTCAAGTCTGGGCTGTGGCTGGGCCACTCATGGACATTCAAAGACATGTCCCGAAGCCACTCCTGCATTGTCTTGGCTGTGTGCTTAGGGTTGTTGTCCTGTTGGATGGTGAACCTTCGCACCAGTCTGAGGTTCTGAGCGCTCTGGAGCAGGTTTTCATCAAGGATCTCTCTGTACTTTGCTCCGTTCAACTTTGCCTTGATCCTGACTAGTCTCCCAGTCCCTGCCGTTGAAAAACATCCCCACAGCATGATGCTGCCACCACCATGCTTCACCGAAGGGATGGTGCCAGGTTTCCTCCAGACGTGATGCTTGGCATTCAGGCCGAAGTGTTCAATCTTGGTTTCATCAGCCCAGAGAATCTTGTTTCTCATGGTCTGAGAGTCCATTAGGTGCCTTTTGGCAAACTCCAAGCGGGCTGTCATGTGCCTTTTACTGAGGAGTGGCTTCCGTCTGGCCACTCTACCATAAAGGCCTAATTGGTGGAGTGCTGCAGAGATGGTTGTCCTTCTGGAAGGTTCTCCCATCTCCACAGAGAAACTCTGGAGCTCTGTCAGAGTGACCATTGATGTGGAAAATTAATCACTGTACTTTATAAGAAATCAAAATACTTTGAGTTTTTGTTGCAAAAAAATGACTTTATTCGAGTTTCAACAAAGCCAGGCCGGTCTGCAGAGTAGCCCCGCCTCGCTCTTGCTCTCCCTCTATATATACCTACTTCCGTCTCTCTCTTCACTTAAAATCCCTCCTCCTACAGTCTCCCACTCTTTTCCACTCCACTTCCTTTGTCTCTGAGGGCGGCTAAACTCGACTTTTATTATGCACATAGTACTCCAACCAATCACTCACTCCCCTGTCTTGCACACACACTCATGTTTAGTTTAAACATGACAAGGCCCTAAATCCTTGAAACATACACAAACCCCACCCCATCATGCTGTAATCAATCAAGAATATACCAAGGAGACAAAGGTCTAGCCCAAACTCTATTCAACCCTGGTGCCACTCCCTTCACGGTGTTTGAAGAGAGACAAAAGGCCACAAGCTAGTTTCAGTCTCTCATCAGATAAGACAGCCATGGATTTAAGTAAGAGCAAGCACTCTGACCCTAGGGCAGATTCCCTTTCTACTCACCCACACAGTGAAACTAAATGACCCAATACAATTCCTGGCCCAGTAACAAAGAATTCTAACTTTACTGTTGTGATTAACCCAGTTTCATCTCACAGTACACTAAAACTCTACAGTTCATTAATAATAATTCACCACTTAATCGGGTTCTTGATCACTTCCCTGACCAATGCCCTTCTCCCCCGATTGCTCAGTTTGGCCGGGCGGCCAGCTCTAGGAAGAGTCTTGGTGGTTCCAAACTTCTTCCATTTAAGAATGATGGAGGCCACTGTGTTCTTGGGGACCTTCAATGCTGCAGACATTTTTTGGTACTCTTCCCCAGATCTGTGCCTTGACACAATCCTGTATCGGAGCTCTACAGACAATTCCTTCGACCTCATGGCTTGGTTTTTGCACTGTCAAATGTGGGACCTTATATAGATGGGTGTGTGCCTTTCCAAATCATGTCCAATCAATTAAATTTACCACAGGTGGACTCCAATCAAGTTGTAGAAACTTCTCAAGGATGATCAATGGAAACAGGATGCACCTGACCTCAATTATTTTGTGTCTCATAGCAAAGGGTCTGAATACTTATGTAAATAAGGTATCTGTTTTTATTGGGGGGGGGGGGGGGGGGGGGGGTTTAGCCAACATTTCTAAAAACCTGTTTTCGCTTTGTTGTTAATGGGTATTGTGTGTAGATAGCTGAGGATTTTTATTTATTTAATCCATTTTAGAATAAGGCTGTAACGTAACAAAATGTGGAAAAAGTCAAGAGGTCTGAGTACTTTCCGAAGGCACTGTATCCCACCAATTGATTGATATCATTAAATTCACAAGTCTGCTCATGCAAATGAAACCTAAAATGTTCCTTTCAATGTAGCCTATATATTCCATTGAGGTTCTGCGAAAAGTTCTCCAAAGAAAGAACCATTTCTCCATGATGGCGTATTATAGTCCCCCTCACCTCTACATTCTTCAGTTTAAGAGCATGATCTATGTCGCTGGTCGTCAGTTTACATCTCTTTCCGTGGTGCATAAACTTCAACGCGTCCTAGAAGACAAAGGGAGGTGGAAAACAAAAGATATGAGCAAAGGATCACATTTCGTAACACAATTACCCTGTGTGTTCATTGGTATTGATACGAACTGAGGTGCGACATGTCAAAAAGTGAGTCTTCCGATAAGATCACAGTTTATCATTCTCTGTTGCAAATCATTTCGGAACACGGCCCTGCTCTTACCTGAGCGATCTCCTTTATTCTGTAGCTGACCTCCTCGCTCAGGGCGGCACAGCTCTCCTCCTGTAGCTGCCCCACTCCAATGGACTCTGCCATGGCCTTCATCGACTCAGTGGGCAGAACCACAGTGCACTGCTTCGGCCTCCGCTCCTCAGCCATGGTGGCTGTTGGATCAGAGGGATCGCGCAGAGGTCAATGAGGAGGGATGTCAAGCTGAAAGAAACCGTACAGTTACTTATGACTATAACTACTGTTTCCTGAAGAAAGGAAACGAGGTCAAAACACAGTTATGGGGAGTTCGCGCGCTAGCGCCCTCTACCGAAGAACATTCGAATCACGCCTGACAAGGCCACCTTCCACAGGTGATAACTCGAAGCACAGATTCATTTCTTCAATTCAGTACCGATCTTCACCGAGTCCAGAACTGGGCGGTGCGGGGCCGAACAGGTGTTGCACGTTGTTTCCCTCCTTCAGTGAACAGTAGTTATAGTCATCTGTACGTTCCCTTTTAGTCGATCAACTCGGTTCAATACAGCTATGGGGATACAAAATCATGCCCCAAGCCGACCCCAGTGGACACCAAATGAAATGGCCCACGGCAGCCCACCCAGAGTTACAACCCAAACAGGAAAACGTGTGGTACCCAAGGTATTGCACAATCTGCACACTGACTAATGACCCTCTCCCACCCCGGCCGTAAGCACACTGTGGGCTTCACTGGGGGCAGTGACATGCAAGTGATAAAACCTCACAAAAGTGTGTGGTGATGCCCAACTCGCCGCAGCACTAACATCTCCTACAGGCAACCCTTTAAACAACGCTCAAGACGCCACCAGACCCCTGGCGGAGTGGGCGCGTACACCATTAAGTAATTCCTGCCTTCTGCTGTCATATGCCAGAGAAATAGCCTCCACAATCCAGTGGGAGAGACGCTACTTAGAAAGCACTCCACCATGAGCTGGATTAGCAAAATAGACAAAAAGTTGGTCACACAAACAGACACCCCTGGTACGCTCAATGTACATGCGCAACACTCGTACCGGACATGTAACTGCCGCTGCTCCACAGAAGCGGACTCCCGAGTGGCGCAGTGGTCTAAGGCACTGCATTGCAGTGCTAGCTGTGCCACTAGAGATCCTGGTTCGAATCCAGGCTCTGTCGTAGCCGGCCGCGACCGGGAGACCCATGGGGCGGCGTACAATTGGCCCAGCGTCGTCCAGGGTAGGGGAGGGAATGGCCGGCAGGGATGTAGCTCAGTTGGTAGAGCATGGCGTTTGCAACGCCAGGGTTGTGGGTTCGATTCCCACGGGGGGCCAGTATGAAAAATAAAATAAACAGATCATGTAAGTCGCTCTGGATAAGAGCGTCTGCTAAATGACTAAAAATGTAAATGTAAAGAAGCAAACAGAGAAGGGAAAAGGCTCAAAAGCTAGAGACCTGTAGGGCATTCATGACCTTAAGGGCGAAGGCCACATTACGACGCAACGTCACCTTAGAGTCTACTTTTTTTTACAAGGAGCATGTGTGCACATACGTTGAAAAATGTAGGTGCACACAAAGAAATTTAGGAGCACAATGAAACATTTTGAGGTAATAAAGCTTTTTTTTCTAGGTGCACTGGTGCTCCTAAATTAAAATTCCAGTTCACACAGCAAAATATTTAGGCGCATACGCTAGTAACAGGGTTCATACACATTTTGACAGATGGAATTTCATGGTTTCCCCATAACTTTGAACCAAATTTCCATGACCAACAATTGGTGGCCTCTCTATGTACGTATACAAAGGTAAGCGTAATGTGGTATCAACACTGGGAGGCTGCACTCTGATCCCATGTACCATCTCCTGTCATTGAGCAAGGCACTTCATACCACAAAGTACAATGAATACCTGTTAGGCAACTGTATAAAACACGTGGTCAACCTTCAGTCTGGAGAGCTACTGGGTGTGCAGGCTTTTGATCAAGCCCTGCTCAAACACATCAGAGACAGTTTATCAAGGTCCGGTTGACTAGCTCATTTCTAAAATGTGGGTTGTTAAGGCATCCGCATGCTTCCCAAACTAAACAGTTTGGCAGAGTTCGTGCATATATTATCATGACATTATGCGACGTTTTGGACTTCGGTGAGGGTTTTTTCGGCTGTTTGGGCACACTAAATGTTTTCTGGAGGCAAGCCGAAGTTTGGAGCCGAAGTCTATGCCCCTTCGTCGGTGATTGGTCAACGGTAGGGATTCTTCAATAAAGTATTTGTAGTCATTCAACGAGAGACTACCTGTTTTCATGCACATTTTTTCATTGCGAAATACTGCACCAAACATGTAAATTAATGACAGATTTCTTGAGTTATCTTAGGGTTAACTATTTTGAGGAAGTGAATACTGGCTACGAGTCTCAAAATGGACAAACAGTACTATTGCCACTTTTTTCTCATTTTTCAAGCGAAGGTCTTTTATGGGAATATGCGAGCACACGCGTTCGGTTCGGCTAGCCGAGTTTGGCTAGGCGCCAGCCGAACTGAAGCATGCTGATGCCTTTAGAGGTGGACAGGAATAAAAGCCTGCACACCTATTAGCTCTCCTAAAAGATGGTTGACCAACCCTGATGTAAAACATTATAACATTACAACCAAATACGTTTGATGCCTTTTGAAATAATTAGCTCATTCTATATATCAATGTACTCAGCGCATGTGACAAATAAGTTGTAGTTGCCATTTAATTCAATTGTGCACCAGCAAGAGACCATTGTGTTTGGTAGCAGAGTTTCTGTAGCGGTTCTTGTAGCGATGTTTCATGGGATGGGAGAGTTTGCGAAACAAATGCCCACCCGATTGATACAAATCAACATGATATCATTCTGCCAGGTAGGCCTATTTGCAGTGAACATTTAATTGGTAAGGTTTTAGAAATGACTGTTTAGGCATGCTAACAGGCTACACAACCACACACAGGCACACAAGAACAGGCATTACTTCTTCAGATAGTTGCAGGAATACGATTCACTGATGCATTCTTTTCAGGAATTATGAGAAACGAGTGCAATTGAACTACTTTTCTAATAAGTTAGTTCAATACATTTAACTTTCTGTGCTCAGTCCAGAGGCTCCGCCAAATATATTTTTCCCTTCAGATCTACACGATTCACGTGGATGGTCTATTCTGAGATCAAAACGGCTAATTTGCATCCCTAGTAAAGAGCTACGTCAGCCCTGCCGACCATTTCCTATATCTGGAAGATCACCCAGGGGTGCAGCCTCCACCCCCGAGAGTGGGGGCCCCCACCCTGGATAGCAGATCCGCACTAGGGATCATGACTTACAGTCATGCGTGCATACATTTTTGTGTATGGGTGGTTATATATTTTTAGAAGACAAGGCCAGCACTGGAAAAAAATATGCGCATTTATCTATATGCCATCAGATCGCAGCAATGCCTAATTTATCATAACCATTACAGATAACACATCCTAATGGCTAAATTTCCCCATATAGAGCGCATATATTCAGTCAATAAAAAAGCAAGTGCCATTTATTGAAACCGTAATATCAACTTGTTCTATTATATCGTGGAACACGATCTTCAATTAGTTTATTCTGCCTGTTCTTTAGAATTTTCTAAATGGATGAACAATTCCACATTGAACACTGCATGGTGATGCACGGCCACAACATCTGTTTAGTGAGAAGGCATATGCTTAATGATTCTGATGAAAATACGCTCTGTCTTTATCAAACTAATGTTTTTACATATTTTCAGTGTGGAACCTGCCTATGTTTAGGGGGTTATAGCCTAGCCTAACCAATTCTAAATGGCATTAGCAGAGCGCAAAGTAGTGCAAAATGACAGTACTTATTCGGTAGTGACGGGTTGGGGTTAGCCATCCTTTTGTTAGCCAAAGGGGCTAGGTAGCCAGCTAGCTTCCCATCTACCAGAGCCACGTGGACAAGCCCCCTCCATATTCATGAAGTGGGACTACCCATTCAACATCAGCTTGGCTGAATGCGGCTGGGCCCAGGTCGTCTTAAGCTCATCGAACGAAGTCTGGAAAAAGAGGCAAGCGGTGGTTGACCGGTGGCAGATATTTCCCACCAAACCTGAATGCCTTCCGCCGCGGGGGGAGGACGGCCACTCCACTGACAAGTGCGCAGCCGCTTGGCGACATAGCTCAATGAGCGGCACGCTAGAAGCCAGGGATTCCCCTGCTACATCCGTATCAGGGACATGTGGCTGCCCCAAAGCCAAACCCTCCATCACTGTCTCAGAAAAAAATTAACCGGCCAGAGAAACCACGTCGTCATCCGAACGTGAGTCCTATGTAACACCGAAGGACACCGAGATATCAGCAGGCTCTATAGCGCCATGCTGGGAGTATAGCTCCATGTGATTCGATCCCAAGCCCAGATCCAACCCCGTATCCTGCAACTCCGACTCCACCAAGGTACAGGCACCCAGGGGAGGAAAGTCAACTTCAGTCCCACCAAACCTTCTAAGGAAAGTTACAGAAAGAGCTTAACCAGCAACAGTCGTTTCAATTAAACTTACCATAATATATAATTGAATGACATCAGGTGTCATTCTAATGTTCTTCAGTAGAGGGAGCTAGCGTGCGATCTCCCCATAGCTATGTTGTACAGTGTTGACCGACAAAGGGAACTGTCTTTTTTCCTAGTTTTGAGTTATAATGTCCATGTTATAAATAACTTCTAGATGCATCTTAGAAAGAAAACATACTGTTCTGATTCATTCAAAAACGACTCATCTTGTTTTGAACACAAAGCATGCATCTGAATCCAGGCCATGTCCCAGACCATCACTGTATCTAATGTTAGGCTTCTGGCAATTCACGAATGGATGGTGAATTGAACGAATGGTGGAGAAATGCAAGATTACATGTATCAAGGGGGAAACATGACATCTCATGATAAGTGGTAGAGATATTACAGATCAGATGACTGAGCAGCACCACTGGCCAGCTTTCCCATTCTACTGTAAAACGTCACTAAACACAACATTTCAACTCTCATAGAGAGCAATAGTAATGGCGTATTTTTATAGGCACTAACTCCGCCATGGTTCGTTGGACAAAGCCTGTGGGGAAATTAATTGAGGTTTTTTTTTTTTTTGGGGGGGGGGGGGGGGGGGGTTTGGATAAATGCAGAAAATAAGGTAAGTGGCCAACACAGGCTTAGGATATCTAATTTTCAAGAGCTAATGTCACTTTTTGTGAATTTAAACATTTATGTAATCAGAAAAAGCACATAAAGGCTTCATAATTCATAAAGGTCATGTTAACTGACTGATTTTATCTCATAGAACAAAACGTATAAGATCTCCTAAGCCTGTGTAAACCTCAGAGCTTATTTTCGGCGTTTATCCCAAAACCCGATTCTTTCCTCCCATGAATGGCTGAACGAACCAGCAGTAAGCTGGGGTGTATTCATTATGCCGATTGTTGCCAAACGTTCCGTCTATTAAAAAACGTTTTGCAACAGAAACAGTTTACTCCAAACGGAAAACGTTTTGCAACGGAAACGCGAGTTCTTATTGGACAAATTCAGGTAGGTCCCTCCGTGTCGTTTGGTTCTTAAACGGTAAACTGTTTCCTTTGTAAGAGGTAATGAATACACCCTGATGTTCCCTCTTTCTGATGAATGGGCAAAATCTTTAGACGCATGTGTTTTCTACTTTCCATAGGATCAACAGCCTAGTAATATAACATATGCGTTAGTTCTTTCAAACAGTAGTAACCAAAATGTAATCACTTGCTGGCTAGCTAGTAGTTACCATAGCTAGCGAGACCATTCCAGTTTATTCGGTCTGAGATCATTAGTTACCCTATAGTTAGCTAGCGAACTACAAATCAGAACCAAACACAACACATACAGCAAACTCTCCAAAATGTGTTATTTTAACCATTTTTATACAGCGGGCAAGCCAGACAACTTGGTACATTTTGTTGATTTACTAGCTAGCTGTTAGTTGGCTAACGTTCGATAATGCTAGAGAGCCAAGTTGATTAGCCTAGCATAGCGCTCTTACCTTTGTAAAGTTACAAATACGGCCGGTAAACACCAACAGGAGAAAGTTAAAACTAATTAAAAAGAAACGAATACTATTAAAATGTTTGATAGTGGTTCGTTTGCCAATCTAGATCATTACAGTATATATTCATTTGTAGATTTATTTTAACTGCTTTATGGTCTGCAGCTCTGACCCTGTTTTCTGAAATCCCGCCATTTTGTTTTACCTTTCAAGGTCCTCAAACATGTTTACGTGAATGAAGTGACATCCTATATTTTTAAGCGTGTTACATTTGTATCTATGGTGGTATACACTTTTATGAAGTTGGTCTTATTGTCAAATATAGTATAAATTATGATTTCGTAACAATTTACTGTTTAAAAACCAATTTTAGAAATATTTTACACTACACATCTGCATGGATCAGTTGGATGTTTTTATCAATCGGCTAGTTCTGCCTGTTCTTCTTCTTCTTCTTCTTCTTCTTCTTTTTCTTCTTCTTCTTCAATGAGGTTTAACTGCGGTTGGCATCCAATTTGTTGCATTACCGCCACCTACTATACTGGAGTACAACTCCCTTATCTTTTCTTGAAAAATAAAATAAAACAAAGCAAAGAAATATCCTACCATCTAACACTACACTCACAACTTCAAAACTACTACTAATAATTAACCCCACCCTTCTCCACTATTTAAATATACTCACTCCTACCTCATGCCCTCAACCTGAATTGATGGGACATCACAATTACATTTACATTTTAGTCATTTAACACTTTACATTTCACCACTTAACACTCCCTGTAACTCTTCTGCTGTCAGGTCTCGCACACCCAAATATCTCTCTGCAGCTGCCACCACAACCTCAATTTTCTTCGATTTGCGTTCCATCCCTGCAGTACAATTAATAACCATTGCTATAAACGCTAAAAACCCAATCTTTACTGAAACATATATCACTTGCTTGCCTATCCCACTGTACTGGTACATATCTCCTACTCTCACCACTCCCCCCCCCCCTTGACCCCTCTTCCTCTACTTTCTTCACTGCCTCCGCATATGACAACTTCTTCTCTACTCTTACCCTGGAAACCTCAACCTGCTTCTCTCGCACTGGACATGTCTGATCTCCAGCCCCATGGCCACCCCTACAATTAGCACATACCACTACTTTCCCCACTTCTTCACACTCCTTAGTCTCGTGCCCTTCTGCACACTTCTCACACCTTGGAATCTCCCTCCTACATACTGCTGCCACATGCCCATAAGTTTGACACCTGTAACAAGTTAACGTACTCGGTACATACGCTCGCACAGGATAACTTGTATATCCTAACTTCACTTTATCTGGCAAAGACTCAACCAGTAATCACTCCTCTCAATGGCGCCCTTTTCTTCCAGTGTAAGTCGCTCTGGATAAGAGCGTCTGCTAAATGACGTAAATGTAAAATGTAAAACAATTCACAATTCTTTCCTCCATTTGTTTAACTCTGAGCGCCTTCTCCCTCTGCCCAACAGAAACACAAACAATTATCACTAGACCACTTCTGGTTACCCTCACCGATTCCACTATACCCAATGCTTTTTTCACCCATCTTGAAACCACAAATTGACCTACCACCTCCGATACTTCACGCTCTTCCATTTCTCCTCCTGTCTTCAGCTCACTTTGCTTACATTTCCTACCACTCTTCTTTAACAAACCTTCTCCCTTTTCCCCGCCATTTTTTACAGACTCAAACTCACAGTCTTCCTCTCTCTCTTAGACCTCCTCTGCCTCTCTTTTTCCCTCCATTCCTCCTCATTCCTCCAAGTATACGTCTCCTTACGATAATACTGCATTTCTCCTAACCAATATCTATTTCTTGCCTTCTCAAAAGGACTCCATTTCTCCCTCCTTTCCTTTCCAGCGTCTATTCTATCCTCTGGACTTGTGTCGACATCTTGGCCTTTCGTCTTCTATCGGAAAATATTTGGTCCGCCACATACAGTGGGGAGAACAAGTATTTGATACACTGCCGATTTTGCAGGTTTTCCTACTTACAAAGCATGTAGAGGTCTATAATTTTTATCATAGGTACACTTCAACTGTGAGAGACGGAATCTAAAACAAAAATCCAGAAAATCACATTGTATGATTTTTAAGTAATTAATTTGCATTTTATTGCATGACATAAGTATTTGATCACCTGCCAACCAGTAAGAATTCCGGCTCTCACAGACCTGTTAGTTTTTCTTTAAGAAGCCCTCCTGTTCTCCACTCATTACCTGTATTAACTGCACCTGTTTGAACTCGTTACCTGTATAAAAGACACCTGTCCACACACTCAATCAAACAGACTCCAACCTCTCCACAATGGCCAAGACCAGAGAGCTGTGTAAGGACATCAAGGGATAAAATTGTAGACCTGCACAAGGCTGGGATGGGCTACAGGACAATAGGCAAGCAGCTTGGTGAGAAGGCAACAACTGTTGGCGCAATTATTAGAAAATGGAAGAAGTTCAAGATGACGGTCAATCACCCTCGGTCTGGGGCTCCATGCAAGATCTCACCTCGTGGGGCATCAATGATCATGAGGAAGGTGAGGGATCAGCCCAGAACTACATGGCAGGACCTGGTCAATGACCTGAAGAGAGCTGGGACCACAGTCTCAAAGAAAACCATTAGTAACACACTACGGAGTCATGGATTAAAATCCTGCAGCGCACGCAAGGTCCCCCTGCTCAAGCCAGCGCATGTCCAGGCCCGTCTGAAGTTTGCCAATGACCATCTGGATGATCCAGAGGAGGAATAGGAGAAGGTCATGTGGTCTGATGAGACAAAAATAGAGCTTTTTGGTCTAAACTCCACTCGCCGTGTTTGGAGGAAGAAGAAGGATGAGTACAACCCCAAGAACACCATCCCAACCGTGAAGCACGAAGGTGGAAACATCATTCTTTGGGGATGCTTTTCTGCAAAGGGGACAGGACGACTGCACCGTATTGAGGGGAGGATGGATGGGGCCATGTATCGCGAGATCTTGGCCAACAACCTCCTTCCCTCAGTAATAGCATTGAAGATGGGTCGTGGCTGGGTCTTCCAGCATGACAACGACCCGAAACACACAGCCAGGGCAACTAAGGAGTGGCTCCGTAAGAAGCATCTCAAGGTCCTGGAGTGGCCTAGCCAGTCTCCAGGCCTGAACCCAATAGAAAATCTTTGGAGGGAGCTGAAAGTCCGTATTGCCCAGCGACAGCCCCGAAACCTGAAGGATCTGGAGAAGGTCTATATGGAGGAGTGGGCCAAAATCCCTGCTGCAGTGTGTGCAAACCTGGTCAAGACCTACAGGAAAAGTATGATCTCTGTAATTGCAAACAAAGGTTTCTGTACCAAATATTAAGTTCTGCTTTTCTGATGTATCAAATACTTATGTCATGCAATAAAATGCAAATTAATTACTTAAAAATCATACAATGTGATTTTCCAGATTTTTGTTTTAGATTCCGTCTCACACAGTTGAAGTGTACCTATGATAAAAAAATCACAGACCTCTACATGCTTTGTAAGTAGGAAAACCTGCAAAATCGACAGTGTATCAAATACTTGTTCTCCCCACTGTAGTCCCCAATCCCTAGTTCTGCCTGGCAGTGATTGTTCCATTTTTACTAGCCGTTTGCCCTATCCAAGTTCCTACAATGCATTCCTCCCTTAATCCACAGGTCTGTTACAGGTTGTCTTTATTGCAGTCGCGCTGCACAGCTCAGAAGATTGCTATATCATATGGATGTGATTCCTGAGAACACTTATCCAAGCGCCAACACGACTGCAAAAAAGACAACCTGGAACGTCACCTTCTTCTTCTTCTTTCTTCTTCTTCTTCTGTGGATTTATATGGTGGTTGGCAACCAAATTTAAGGTATTGAACGTCACCGATAATATGCCTGCCAATTAAATACATTGGTGGAAAGAAGACTGCTGGGGAAACAATGAGTAGTGTTGAGAGTAGACCTGTAAAGAACAGGACCACTCTAGACAAAGAGGTTGGAGTAAAGTTATACAGTTATGGTATTGTTCCCAGAAACAGCAATTAAGTACTTTCATCCATTGCATTTGACAAAAGCAACTAGGGAAGAGATTGGGGTGATTTAAGGATGTCACATTCCCAGTGCTATATCTAAAATGAGAGGAGTAATTGCTGGGATGTCATTGGAAATTATCATGGAAGAAGTTAAGGCTTCCCTGAAAGGAGGAAAAGTTATTGACTCGAAAAGGATGAAAAGCAAAAAGAGTGGCAGTGGAGTGGACACTACAACTGTATTGTTACACTACGACTGTATTGTTACACTACAACTGTATTGTTACACTACAACTGTATTGTTACATTTACATTACATTTGAGTCATTTAGCAGACGCTCTTATCCAGAGCGACTTACAGTTAGTGAGTGCACACATTTTCATACTGGCCCCCCGTGGGAAACAAACCCACAACCCTGGCGTTGCAAGCGCCATGCTCTACCAACTGAGCTACAGGGGGCTGTATGTTGTTACACTACAACTGTACTGTTACGCTACAACTGTACTGTTACACTACAACTGTACTGTTACACTACAACTGTACTGTTACGCTACAACTGTATTGTTACGCTACAACTGTACTGTTACGCTACAACTGTACTGTTACGCTACAACTGTATTGTTACGCTACAACTGTACTGTTACGCTACAACTGTATTGTTACACTACAACTGTATTGTTACACTACAACTGTACTGTTACGCTACAACTGTATTGTTACACTACAACTGTACTGTTACGCTACAACTGTACTGTTACGCTACAACTGTACTGTTACGCTACAACTGTACTGTTACGCTACAACTGTATTGTTACACTACAACTGTACTGTTACGCTACAACTGTATTGTTACACTACAACTGTATTGTTACACTACAACTGTATTGTTACACTACAACTGTACTGTTACACTACAACTGTATTGTTACAATTTGAGGGGAACCTGCCGAATAGGGTGCAGCTAGGATCACTCAGTTATCCATTTAGAAAGTATGTGCCGCCTCCACTTCGGTGCTTTAAGTGCCAACGGATGAGGCATGTTGCTAATGTGTGCAAAGGTAAAATGAGATGTGCAAAGTGTGGTAGGGATCACGAGCAGTGGTGATTTTAGCATGTAAACTTGGTGGGGCAAACTAAAAACATTTTTTGGGATGCA